AGGAAGCCATCATTCTCTCTCTCTTTTTTTAAAGGTTTTTGCCATAGGGCACATATGGTTTCCAGAGAGAGAGAGACAGTGAGAGTGAGAAGTCACCCCCCACAAGAGGGGATGGCCATGCCACAGTCCCTTCTCCTCTGTTCTCCTCCTGAGATTTTGAGCTTGAACGTATACGTGCCTGGCATGATTTTCAAGCCACCAGATCCAGGACTTGAACCATGGTTAGCCATATGGGAGTGCAGTGCCCTAACCACTATGTCCTCCAGCATTCTCTTCTTTAAAAATAACTTTAATTTCCTTTATTTTACATTATAAAAAAAAACATATACTTATTGTAAAATAGAAATATAGGGGAAAAGATATTTAAAAGAAAAAACGTATAGTTCTCTTTCTCTTTCATTATTTCTCTTATTCCCCACAGAATTTTCCTCAGAACTTTGCTCTGAAGCATGCTCTTGGGACCAGCAGTTAGCGTAATGGCTATGTCGCTGACTCCCACGTAGTCGACCGCAGTTTGAGTCCCGGACCCGGTGGCTTAAAACTCACGCCGGGCGCGTGTGCGTGTGTGCCCAAGATCCTGAGAGGAGAATGGAGGAGAAGGGATTGCGGCGTGGCCATCCCCCCTGGGGGGTGATTTCTCGCTTTCTGTCTGTCTATCTCTGTCTTTCTGGTGAGCGCATGCGCCCTATAGTAAAAAAAAAGTATGCCCTTGAAATTGTTTTTCTGCCTTTACAGACACTCACACAACCTACTCACACACGTGAACAGATCGGTGTGCACAGAAGGCCACGCAGTACATACTATTCTAAAACTTCCTTTCTTCACTCAACAGCCCGTTGTAGAAGTTGTCTCCCTGTTAACACATGAGCCTTTGCCATCGTTTCAGTCCCCTCTCACTGACCTTTGCACCGTTTCCAGTCTTCCCCTTTATAAACAAAACCGTAAAGAACATCCTCACACACTTGTCTTGGTGTGGGCATGTTTTGGGGGTGGGATCAGAAATGGACCTCGTTCCTGTTTCAGGTATTTAAATACAACCGATTCCTGAACCCTGACGGGTCAGAGAAGAAAGACTTTTATAAGGACGGGAAACGGCTGAAGAATTACAACATGCCCTGGGGAGCCGGTCACAACCAGTGTCTGGGACGGAGTTACGCAGTCAACAGCATCAAACAGTGAGTGGGGTTGGGGTCGGGGTGGGGTCCAGGGCCGGGAGCTCCTGCCCCTCCAGCCTGCGAGTCCTTGTCCTGAGATTGAGACCAGCCTGGAGAACGGCTTGGGGCAGAGACTTTAAAGGACCACTTGTGCGCTGTCTCCTGCCCCGAGAGCTATTCATCTGCCGTTTTAAACAAAGATGTGTGCTAACTTTTGAAAATCAAAAGAACATACTTTAAAAAGCCAAATTGTGGGACCAGCAGTTGATGTAATGGCTGTGTCACTGGACTCCCATGTAGTTGACCACGGTTCTAGTCCCGGACCCGGTGGCTTAAACTCACAGGCACATGTGCGTGCGTGCCCAAGATCCCAAGAGGAAAATGGAGGAGAAGGGATTGTGGCGTGGCCATCTCCCTGGGTGTGGGTGTGTGTGTGTGTGTGTGTGTGTGTGTGTGTGATTTCTCACTTTCTGTCTCTCTTTCTGGCCAGCACATGTGCCCTTTAGCAAAAACCTCCTCTGAAAAAAAAAAAAGTAAAAAGCCAGGTTGCAGGCCAGCAGGTGATGTGGTTAAGGCATTGGACTCTCACTTGGTCCATTGAGGTTTGAGTCCTAGACCTGGTGGCTTGAAAATCACGCCAGGCACCTGTGCATGAGTGCCCAAAATGCCAGAAAGTGATTGGAGGAGAAGGGATTGTGGCTTGGCCATCCACCCGGGGTGAGGGGTGATTTCTAACTTTCCTCTTACTGTCCCTTTCTGGGGAGCTCATGTGCTCTATTGCAATAAGTAAGTAAGTAAGTAAATAAATAAATAAATAAAATAAAATAAAATAAAAGGCCGATTTCAGATTTCTTCTGAAATAATCAGATCTGGCAGGAGCTTCATTCCTCCAAGGCTCGCATTGGAATACCAGACACAGGTCATTTGGTCCCAGCTGACTGTAGCTGTCTGTCTGCAGCTGCTGTGGACAGTTCAGAACCCCCAGGCAGGCGCTGGTGGGACTGCGTCATTTCTGCCTGGTTATTTTAATGTCTGTGGTAGCCAAGAACCTCTTAAGTTCTCTTCTCTGGACCCTAGAGCCTAGACTCTGCCAGGATTATGAGCAGATTGGACCAGAGGTCATGACTTTCACCCTGCCCTGTCCATCTCCTGTGTAACTATCTGAGCCTCTATCTCCTCGGTGGTAAAAGGGGGGCGCAGATTACAACTACATTCCCGGGGTGTCAGGTTCAATGAACTGGCCCTTTCTAAGTATCTAACCCACTGTCTGGCTCATTGTGGGCACTGGGTAAATGCTCACTGCCCTCGTAACTCTTAGCGTTGTTACTCACGCACAGACATTATGCTAAGTGCACAGGTTTGCTGCGTCAGCCTCTTGACCTCAGTTTTCACTACAGTAAAATCATAATATGCTCAGTTTTGTCCTAATGCCTCGTATTCGTTCCTAAGATTCACCTTGTTGTGTGAAATCAGGCAATAAAAGCCACAAAGATTGTGGGAGAAAGAGGGGTTTGGGCTCAGCACTTAAAAACCTCATCAGTGACACATTTTTAAAAAGTTAAGGGGGGTTGGGAACCAGCAGTTAGCGTAATGGCTATGTCGCTGTACTCCCACGTAGTCGACCGCGGTTCATGTCCCGGACCCGGTGGCTTACACCTCACCCCGGGCGCGTGTGCGTGCGTGCCCAGGATCCCAAGAGGAGAATGGAGGAGAAGGGATTGCGGCGTGACCATCCCCCCTGGGGGGTATTTCTCA